ATTTTAAAAGAGAGTTTTGTTGTTTTATGCTTATAAATATAGAGTCTAAATCATATCTACATTTATTGTGCTCAATTTTCACCATCATCCCAACAATTTGCAAACTCAACATTACACAACGTTTAAGCAATGCTCTCTGTTTCTCAGTCAGAACCTGTGGCCCTGAAACCAAAGGCGGTTCTTTTTAAGAAGAACAACATGAACTCAGTTCTGGCCGTCAGACTTAACAGCTGGATGGTTTTCTTCATTGGAACAACAGATGGACAGCTCATCAAGGTGTGTAGAAAAGCAAAATATGAGGAACAAATCTGTTCCATCAAATTATGTAACATTGAACAGCATTAAAGTGAAATGTAAAACCGTTGAATAACTATGACTCTTTGGTTAAAGAAAAACACATGTGGAGTCTTTTACATGAAACGTATGTTGTTAGGACTTTATTCTGTCTTGCCATTGAGGCATGAACATGTCATAGCATAAATTGAATTACACAGGGGGTGTAGTTAAGCAGACACAGTTGATAGCCATGATCAGGTTCAGCTTGTAGCCTGTATAGCTTTAGCTGCTAAAACATACAAAATAGTCAATAATTTTAAGCATTACCATAACATAATATGACCACCCCCATGTTTTATCATTGGGACACATTTCTATGTGTGTGCAGTATGGCTTTTGTGCCTCATGTAGCATTTTACTTCTTTTGGTCTATCTTTAACAATAGCTTTGTTCTTGACCTTTTCTGTAAATGAAATATGAAATCTCATCAAAAGATTCCCTACACACTCTACATTGGATTTCTGCTTACGTTTGTCACTTTTAGTGCACTTTTATTAGTACAGGACATTTATACAGTACAATAAGATTATTTGTAAAGAAATCCCAGGGTTCTACTGTTTTATGACTATTTTCCTTTTCTATGACATCATTGTCTTTTTTTATTGTTTTTATGTCTGTAAACATCTGGAAATGAAATGTCAGTGATTATACACCAAAGGTTGTCTAAGTTTAGGTTACAGTTTGAAGCGTCTAATTTTCCATGGCGACTGACCTGTCTGGTAGTGTTGTACAAGTTTACCAGAAGATTATGAATATATTAAATAACATGAACTGGAAGTTATAGTTAATTATTACAGTAGGTCATTCAAATGAAATATTATCAGTTACATGATCTTAACTGCAATTTGGTTATTGACCAGGGGTCTTAGTCTCTTACATAAAAAGTTGGACTCCTGAATCGGCTGTTGAAAACGAGTAACTTTCACCAATTTAGTTATTTAGAGTATAGCTATCAGCAAAATGATCAATCACCAAAAATATAAATCTGTCTCTGTTCATTCAGATGCAACTGAAAGAAGAGTGATAAATCGTTCACTGCATAAAATAGACACAAAAGACCATGGGTAAAAATACAATACCTTTATTACCTAATAATCACACAGTATTATTACATCTAATAACTATGCAAACACTAAACACTACTTAAAATAAGCACAAGTAAATAAATAAAAGTGGAAAAAGGGGTTTTGAGAGTCAATTCAAGAGTCTCTGAGGAATGTTCAAGTTTTAAGGCTTAATGCATTGAAATTTTCCTTTAAAAATAGCAGCAGATAAATGTCAATAAATTATGATGCGGACATGTTAAATGCAGTCAAAACAGTGCAGTTTCATTCTGTTTTATGGTGAAAAGTGAACAATGACTCCGGAATGCATTAAACTGTGATGAGGCTGAAAGAGAAAGGGTTAGATTATCTGGTCCGGGTGGGTCCAGCTGAAACAAAGGAAAGTTTAAAGTTTTTCACTCTGGCCTCTACAACGTGTCCGACATGAGGTAGCTGGAGCTAACGATGCTAGCCAATCCACTGTAGCAGTGTCTTCAGACCCACGTGGCTTGTCTGTGCAGTTAGCATAGGCATTCAGTTAAACTCTTAAAACCATTAGCAGATGAACCAGAAAGCTTATTTCAATTAAAACATAAACACGATATCTGTTCTATCTTGTTCACCCAAGCAGAGCACCTCTTAAGCATAAGGTGGAAAGGGGGAAGGAGGGATGTTACTGTTTTGGCTCGGTGGAATGAAGGCCTTCGCCTTGGTTCAGTTTGTTGCAGGCCCCATCTTCGTTCCAGTCCATTAATCCAACGGCAGCTCTCAAAGAGATTTGGATCAATCCAATGCCATAACAAGATGCAAATTTGCAGGGGGGTTAATTTTATACCTCTCTTTTGCCTGGGACCTCTCCCTTTAGCTATGGCGGTTAGCTGGCAGCCGCAGCCCTCATGTAGCGGCACACCAGTGCCTCATCTAGGCAGTACTAGTAGTATGGCACAGGTCAACGGTTTCTAACGACTCCTCTGCAAACAGCAATTGGGCCCCACTGTCGCTCCTTTGGCAGTTAGATTTAGGTTACCAGAGATGGATTAGCTCTCTCTCTCTCTCTCTCTCTCTCTGCTGCAGGTGAATTCAGGTGGCACTGCGTTCAACTTGGTTTGAATTGCAGGAAAAGACAGCCACTATAATCAGCTTCTCCTGAATTGTAGTAAAGGACGGTCACCATGATCAGCTCCACTGAATTGTAGGAAGGGTAGCCTGAGTTAGTTCAGCAAGCACAGACCTCTCTGAAGGGATTTAGTCACTACTTAGCGTAGCTTTCAGCTGATAAGTGCTTAGCCTAGGCCTTTCTCACCCATGACCCACCGGCAACAGGAAGTTGAACAGGAAGTAGTTGGTTTCAAAACTTTGCCAGAGGGGTGTTCCTTCAGAGGGGAGTCATTCAGGGGACATCACTGACATTTGATCTCAACAGTAGCATCATGGTTTTATTGGGCTATTGATGCATTGTTAGAATTGCAGTTGTGTCGGTTCCAAAACTCTGTGTCATCATCCATCCATCCATCCATCTGTTTCTTATCTACACGCTGTAAGTGTAACCTGCATTATTGTTGCCGTCAGCTTGCTGTAGACAAGAACTATCAGTCCAGCTGTCCAAAGATCCTCTACAGAACCAGTGGTGACAACAGAGTGTTTCCTAAAATCCATCTGGATCCAGTGGATAAGAAGCACGTGTATGTGCCATTTAAAAACCAGGTAGATTAAATCTTTCTCATGAGATATTTCCCTGTTTTGAATGTTAAGGTGTGTCTAAAACATGGTGCTCTGTTCCAGGTGAAGAGTGTTCCGGTGTCAAACTGCAGCGCTCACCAAAATGTGAAGGATTGTCTTTCTGCACAGGACCCATTCTGTGTCTGGTGTTTTAGTAAAAAAAGGTCAGTGAAACTTCATCTGCTGCTGAATCCTTCAGACAAATCTAAACTTGGTGATGACACATTAATAATGTTTCAGATGCACATTTGAAGGCGACTGCAAAGATGGAAAGTGGTTTTCCATTCCTGCTGAATCAAAGCAGAAGATAGTTTCTCAGATGGTTATGCAGGACTCCACGGGAGAGGTGAGTTATTAATACATTTCTGACTTTGCTCAGACCGAACCAAAAGTTATTTGTCTCCTTTATTTGTTCTCTCCTCAGATCAAACTAATCATTAATACACATCTGACTATGGAGCAGCCATTTAAGTCTAATTTTAGCTGTCAGTTCTCTACATCCTCCACCCAAATTTGTCAAGAAACTGGACCACAACCACAGTACCCAAAATGCACCTGCATTCTGAAGAACTCCCTTCCTACTGATGGTCAGGGCCGGCCAGGGAGTCTTCCAACATTTTTTTTGTAGATGTTCAGGGTCTTAATCTAATTACTTAATGTTGGATTTACAGATCTTGATGTCAATCTAAAGATCACACTTGGAGAAACAACGCTGGAAGACCAAATAAAGGTGTCCAACTGTTCAAATATCAATGGAGATGCAAGTCTTCACCTGTAAGTTGATGATACCATCCTGAAGTCAAACTATTTAATTTAACTGCATAAGTCTGAGAAACACAGAAGTTAGAGCTGGTATTTAAATCTGACTGGTTGGTAAAATGATCCGTTTCCTGCTGCACGTAAAAAAAAAAAGATTCCTAATACATACAAGACTGGGAAGCTTCATTCTTCACTCAGGAAACTGGCTCAATGTTCTTTTACCAAGGCAATATTACCACTAAATTGGCTTCAGAAAGTTCTTGTTCCTAAAACAATGTGTCGTAATGTTTTACTTTTGTGGCTGTTTTCTCTTCAGGTGTCAGCGGTGTATCAGAGCCGGATGTGGATGGGAACAGAACAGTTGTTCCTGGGCCACTGATCCAGGCCAGAAGGTAATGATGAACAATTTATTCATGTGACAGTGTTATCCTGACACTATGCCTGTGGCTGATCATGTGTCCTGGCTACTTGGCCTGGAGGTTATTCCTTTGGCTGACTGATTAGCGGCATGACTTTCACCTACAGTAGGAGTATGGGGACAGAACTCCACCCAGGCCCTCTGTTGTGCACATTAACATTTTTAAATGTTTGATTTATTAAACTGGATTCATACAAGCTGTAATAGCCTCACAGGATTCCATGATTGGTGAAATGTTTTCATCTCTTTCTTCCTGCAGGAAAGCACTTGTGAAAATATGGAGTTTGGGATGAATTTTTTAGTGAGTCTGATTTTATCTCAACTATTATATTTAAAGTATAACTCATTGGTAATCTGTAACCGCTGTATTTTCTATGTGTTCCCTCAGAAACCAGAGATCTCCTCCATTTCTCCCAGTGTTGTGTCTTTCTATGGCAGAAATAATGCTGTGCTGTCAGGTTATAACCTCACACATGTGACCAAAGTCAGGATTCTGGAAGACACGGACTGTGACCCAAAGGAGTACGTTGTTTTGTACTTTACTGCTGTTGTGGTAATCTTTTTTTGCCTAAGAGACTCCCATAGTGAATTTTAGACTAGATAGAAAAGGAAAGCTGGGGCTGAGGAGGAAGGATAGGAGTTGGCTGCCAAATGACATTGAGGGCATCAGTAAAGGGGGGTCACTCTGCCATCAAGAGATGCGCTGGGTTTAAAGGCAGATATGAGGGATCTGGAGTCAATCAGTTATCTGTATGGTACGTATTTATTCTTCCCAGCCACTGAATCAGGCGAGTCCAATCTGCACAGGTTTATTCACTCTGCAGATTGGACTCACCTGGTTCAGTGGCTGAACATCTGGTACTAGTCGTCCACATCTAACTCAGTAATGGTCAGAAAGGTTGTAAGAGTGAAATATTTGCTCTAAGGGTTTCTCTACAGTGGCTGAGAAGCATTCGGCAGCAGTCTTTACAAATATAGAGGCATGTACTTTCACATCAACAGTAACACAAGCCTTCTAATTCTAGCAAAAGGGTTTAAGTGACTCTCGGGGTGAGGTGGTTTTGACAGCCAAAGCTGGGCTTGCTGGTGTTTGTTTTGAGTGTCCTCTATTTGTATTGTAACTGTTCTGTGGAAAAACTCTTCTAATTCCTTTTAAGATACAAAGAAAAAAACACAATCTGTGGTAAGATCTCCTATTTCTGAGACACATGATGTATTTTGGTCAGTTTTATGGTTGTTTTTCAATTATGGCTGTAATCCTTTTTTCTGGTTTTAACCCTTTTTTATCTCTGTGCTTCCCTGTGTTTTCTGCTCAGATCTCCTGTAAGGAATAACAACGGGACCAGTCTGACGTTCCACATTCCCAGTACAGAAACTAAAGGCATTGTCAAAGTCTGTGTCCTCCTTCCAGATGGAAGCTGCCATGGCAACAGTGAAATTAGATATCAGTCATCTCCAATCTGCACAGATGTTAAACCACCCAGCAGCTGGAGAAGGTATTTCAAACTTTAATGCAAAAATATTTCCATTCACCAGTTCCAGAAGCTGTAGAAAACTATGCACGGACATTTTGGGCTTAATTAATCTTGTTAACCAAAAGTATTCTCAACAATCACTTATCTAGCCTAGACCTTAGCATTTGAATTGGTTTAGACCTACAGCCCAGTATTTAGGCGAGATACAATATTAATGAGAACTAAAATGTGTTTGATTTTCTTATGTTATCGAACATTTATATTGATTCATTGTAGCTATCTAAATTAATAATGTAAACCAATGGGAAATAAAAACCTATCAGATATGTTTAAATGACCTCAGGTCAGTTATAAAATATTTAATTCTAAAGTTCATAGTTAAACCCAGCTTAGGTTTTGGGCCAGAGAACGTTTACTGCGTGACTTGTTGTTTCTTTAAACATATTTCTGGAACATCCACATTCTACAATAACCTCAACTTCATTCTAAATGAAAAAAATATATATTCAAGACTAAAACTAGCTGTGCCATTGCAAACGTTTATACCTAAGTTTCATTCTTTGGTGGGACCTGAAATGGCTCAACATTCAAAGGGGTTAAATCTCAAAAAATAAATTTTACTAAACCTTGTTCAGTTGGGTTTGTTTTAGTAACCATTGCATCTCAAACAGAGTAACGTGGCAAGGAAAGACAGACACTTCCTGAACAACACATTTTCACTTTAACCTTAGTTCCCTTTTCAATGAAAAGCCACAGCATTAGTGTTTTTTTCTTGTTTCAGAACCATAATGAGTTCATGGCATTTAAGTTTTTTTTATTTTTTAAACAGGCAAATTAAATACTAAACATATACAGTGGTATTTTCTCTCTTTATTGTTCCAGTTTTGCTAATGTAGCTCTGAGACTGTATGTCCTAGAGCTGGATGATAGCCAAACAGCTTTGCTTTCACTAGCAGACTAGTATGACTCTTTCTGTAGTGTTCCACTTGATGCTTGTATCTTTAACTTTATTGGAAATTATTTATTGAGTAAAATCATATACAACAGACACACAGAGAGAAAGGGAAAGGGGGACTAAATACAGATAGGAAAGAGTGCATGAAAAGAGAGAAAATAAAAAGAACAGCAAAAATAGTTTAGATATCATGTGTGTCGAAGTTGCAAATAGATAAAATCAGCTAAACATTTTCTAAATCTAAGCTGTGCAGAACTCTGTCCATCTTTTCACTGTTTAAAATGTCACAAACTCTCAAGAAGAGCTAATTGTAAAGTTTCTAGCTTCTTGCTCTAATCCTGACATATCAAGTAGTCCCTTCAGCTAATTGTAGTTTGATTCCTGGCCCTTTTTTCCTTGGCTTGACGGTTCGTGGGCAGGAAATGCAGCCCGGAAGGCAAAGAGGAAGGTTACATCTATAACTGATCATGTCTTGATTAGTGAACCACAATGAAAGCCAGGAGTGGCTACCAGACTTTCTACCAAAATTCTTCCAATAGCCCATTTAGCCCTCATCTAAGGGGTCACAACAAGGGTCGCGTTTATTTAACACTAAAAACAAGACGGGAGAGAAGGGCACCTTAAGAGCTTTCTAGGACCAAAAACATTTCAAAGTAAAAATACCACAAAGACCTGTTCCTCATGTAATGCTTGATGACTCAAGATTTGTGATTATTTCAATTGACAAGACAAAGGTGGAAGTTTTTGGTTACATTGCATGTCAGCAAAGTTGTGGTGAAACATGGTGGTGATGGTGTGCTGGTTTGTGGCTGTGATGCTGCTTTAGAAATGATTAAAGCAGGAAGATTTCCCCAAGGCTGATGTTAAAACGCAAACTCATATTTGATGCAGAAGTGCGGTATGGATGCGTTTCCCCAATTTCCTAATTAAAGGGAGAATATTTACAAAAGATCTCCCATACACTGTCTAACTTGCATTAAAACATTCCTGATAACGATCTAGTACACATATGTTGTAAAAATAATAATAATAATCGTTTAATTTAAATTAGACTGTGTGCAGGAGTTCTTTTATGAATTTTTATATTTTTTCTTCTACTCTTCTGTCCAATTGTATAGATGTGCAATTAATCACGTCAGCCCAGCTACTAAAATGGTAAAATGTCTTTTTGCTCGGAAAAATAGAAAGCAGCATTAATCTGCCTAAGACATGGTGGCCTAACCTTTAACATGCCTGGATAAACCTTTATTGCTGCTGAATTAAAACTACTCTACTTAGAGGGGTGTCTAAAATTTTTATCCAGATGATATAAAAAAGCTAATTCAATATCAATTCAGTTTATTTATAATGCACCAATTCACAACACGTATCGTCTCAAGGCATTTTACAGAGACAATTAAACCAGATCATACAGTCAGATGGATTCATAGTTTTCTATCTAAGAAAACTCATTGACTCAAAGGCAATGCCTCACACCAAGCATGCTTGTAGCGACAGTGGAGAGGAAAAACTCCAGCAGAACCAGGCTCAGTGTGAGCGGCCATCTGCTGAGGCCGACTGGGGTTCAAGGAAACAGAAGCAGGCACAGAAAAAGAAGCAGAGATACAAACTCACACTATCTGGATGGAGTAATGAGTGGGTAACAGTGCTAAGGGGAAGCTGCAGAGACGTGTGTTAAACTACGACTCTGCTTCCTAGTCTGTGCCCTGAGCTGTCAGGGTTTTGGAGGTATCATTAAGGCATACATTTTTGTCCAGTAATTCACGTTATCTTTAATGAAAATAGATATTGTACAACAAAAAGAAACATAATTGCAAGCTGGTAAATATATTTTCACAGCAAGGTTTAACTAAATAAAAGTGTTTGGTGGGTAACATTATATTAGATATGGAAATACCTTGAATAAAAAGTTAAATGTCTCAGTTTGTCCTCTGCTCTCACTGCTGCTCTTTGTTCTGCAGTGGGAAGAGGAAGATCACTCTTTTTGGGACTAACTTAGACCTGGTGGAGGGGATCACACATGCAGACACCAAGGATGAAGTCATACCTTTAATGAACAGAAGCTTTCAGGTAACGTTGCGGATACACGTTTAACCAAATAGACAATGTTTCATGGGGAGGCATGTAATTGTTTGTATATGAGAGGCTCAGGTAATAAAATAAAGCCAAAAATGTCACAATAACTGCTCAAATCCTTTGCTCCTTGATATGGAATGTGTTTATTTATTTTTCAGAAACTCACCTATGAAACACCTGAAGAAACAAACCCTGCAGTGTCCAGTAGCACCGTGTTTCTGAAAGTAGCCAATAAGACACTGAATTGCAGGAAAGAAATTGTTTACTATCCTGACCCAGAGTTCACCAGCTTCACAGCCTTTAAGGAGGGCGAATATATCCGCATCCGTATCGAAGTAAGACAAATTCTGTCATATATTTCTCATATAAACATCTGGATATTAGATTAGTAAAGGTGAAATTGCTTTTGATATTTCAGAAAAAGGCAGATAAGCTGGAGATGGAACAGGAAGAGTTGAAGATTTGGGGGATTCAAGGTGAAAATAAGTATCCATGCATCAAAAAAAAAAGGGAAAACAAGACAGAAGCTTTCATCTGTGAGATCGAAGGACTGCAAAATTCTGACATTGAACAGATAGAGGTAAATCTAAATTTAGCTTTATTATATCAAGGTTAGCAATAAAAAATAAAATGAAAAAGCTTTATTTTTGGTGAAAAACTATGATTGTTTTCACTGAACAGGTAAATGGAAGCAGATAAGGAACCTGTAACCTGCAGGATGCAGGATTACTCTAACAATTTGGCTGCAGAAAGAAGGAAGCAGGGAGGACAGAAAAGATTTTAACTGGAATAAAAAAAAAAGCTGGTCCCATCTGCCTTACTGTGTAAAAGAACATAAACATAAAACAAGTCTTATTGAAATAGCAAAGAGCATGGAGTTTATAACCAAACCTGCATCATTATAATCAAACACACTGCAATCCAACTAAACTGAGGAAATACAAATACTGTTTCAAAGCATGATGATAAAACCAACATTCCAACCCCAGTTATCTTTGTTCAATCAGGAGTTAACTATGACTTATCAGATTTCTTAGAAAGCAGAGGTCAGTTTAACTAACCACACCCACACTGACTGACCTGCATAACCAAAGATTAACTTAAACTGAACGTGCCTTAAAGCACCTTAAAGCATGGCCATTATGCCATGAATTCTATCAGTTAAAGAACCATAACAGCGCTTTAAGCTCTGCAGACTTCACTCACCTCAGCTAAAGGTCACATAAAATGTATTAAATGCTCAGTATTGCTGCTAAGTCAACTATACCAATAAAGTAACTGTCCAGGAAGGGTGGTTGCTGACTTTCAGCCAGGTTTCCTTCATTAGAATTTGTTTTTTTTTTATTAAGCAATTATTTTAATTTTTAAAAGCCTTTAGATAGTATTTGCTATGAATTGGCACTACATACAGTAGCTAAACTGGATTAAATTAAGAAGTAACTTCAACATAAAATCTAAACTGTCCAATATGGCTGAATAAATACTGTCCTGCCTGTATTTACTCCACTTCAAGATAAATACTTATTGACAGTAATTTTTGCCATGTTGTCATTTTTGATGTTAGAAGTTTGCCAAATCAGTTTATCTTTGCTTTGTTTTTACTTTTTCTATTTTTTATTTGTTCTTGTTTTTTTGCACCTGTATAAACCTGTAGGTCTCCTTTGTCCTTTGAGCTATTGTGAAAAATTTCTCTTACAGATAAAATATGGAGAAAAGCTTGTAACCCTGAACAAGCCATCTCAAGTTCTCCTCTTATTAACTTGTCTTATGATTCTACTGATACCCATCGTCATTGTTGGTAAGTTCCCAACGTTTCAGGTCTTTACCAGCTCTAATAATAAAAACTGACCCTTTCCTTTTAATTCTTCTCAGTGGCCTTTGTCATCTATAAAAGACAGCAGAAGCAGCTCACTGTTAGGATGAACAGGTTCATGGAGGACCTGGAGCTCGATATAAGGAACGACATCAGACAAGGTCTGTCCCATCTTACAACAATATCATTTGGGTTTTTATATTTAACTGTTAGCTTTAAATTTAACAAAATGTAAATGAAAACTGATTAGGTCCAGAACAATTGATTGTTTTATTAACTTTTGAACAATCATTTCCCATCAGAAACAACTTTGTGGTCCTAAATTTAAGATAAATGTCTGCTTTCTTTTAAATGGAAATTTTTCGCAGTTGGCTTCAAAATTATTCTTTTAAAAGATATTTCAGCTAAATTGTTCTGGGCTCTTTAGAAGAAGCCTGTCCTTATCTCTGATCGAAACAAACCCAGTAAAGCATAATGTTATCTGCAGCATGCTTCCACTCCATAGCAACACACAGAATGTGCTTTTCTTCAGAATTAGCATGAAACATAATCACTTTTGTCTCTTTTGATCCACTTCACTTTATACTTTCAACCTCACTGTGGTTCTAACACAGATAGCTGTTCCTTTTTTGTGATCTATGGCGTTGCTTAACTGGTTCCTTTTTGCAATGTTGAAAATGTTGCACAGGTTATTGTGGTGATAAACAGAAGCCATTATGTACCATTACACTGAGCTTAAAGTTAAACAAAAATGTATCCTACCGAGGGGCAGGGATTTAATTCAATTCAATCTATAGCATTAAATTACAGAACATGTCACCTAAAGGCACTTTACAGAGCCAGTACAATCAGATTGGTTCAAAGTTTCTTTCAAGGAAAAGCTGCTGATGGCATCCAGTCGTTGACTTGCAGGACAGGCTCCTAGTGGATGAAGATTCGTTGACTCCTCAGTAATCCCTAATACCAAGCATGCATGCAGCAACAGTGGAGAGAAAAAACTCTCTTTTTATCAAGTTATTGTACTGACATTTTAAATACCTCATTCTGCTTATGTGCTAGATGATGCAAACACTGTTTTTTTGCGTTTGGGTTTTCAGTTCATAGAAAGTAGAAACAGACCCTGCTTTGTAAATTAAAGATTCTTCACTGCGGTTTTCCTTCACAGGTTTTATAGACTTGCAGACAGAGAAAGCTGATCTGATGGAAAACGTTGGAACGATTCCTTTCCTGGATTACAAGCACTTTGCTTCCAGAATCCTCTTTCCAGAGGTAAAGGGGGGAAAGCTGGAAAGAAATACAACTGGGCTTTAATGACAATGATTATTCACTGAATGTCTAAAGTTGGATCTCCTAATAACACAGCTATCTCTGGTTTTTTAGAATGATACATTGATCACAATGTGCATCACAGACATCGGTCAGGTAGGCTCCGCTAGCAGCTGTCATTGTTGCTGTTTGAATGGTCTCTCAGTGATGTTTGATGTCTGATCAGGATGTGGTGAAGGTTGAGCTTGATGAGGGCTGCCAGACTTTCTCCAAGCTGATCCAGGACCAGCTTTTTCTCACCACTATGGTGCACGCTTTAGAGGAGCAGAAAAGCTTCACTATCAAAGACAAGTAAGTTTGTTCTGATGCATTACATCAGAGTAGTGTGATCATTTGTTAGGTCTATTTCTAGAAATCTGCTCTTTTTCACCTTTTTTTTCCTCTCTTAGGTGCACACTTGCATCTCTGCTCACTGTGGCACTTCACAGCAACCTGTCGTACCTGACGGAGGTGATGGAGGTTCTGCTGAGGGATCTGATGCAGCAGAACAGCAACGCTCAACCCAAACTGTTGCTGAGGCGCACAGAGTCTACGGTGGAGAAGCTGCTGACCAATTGGGTGTCAGTCTGCCTCTACGGCTTCCTGAGGGTCTGTTGCCACAATTTACCTTCATGTTAATTACAGACAGCATTTTGCATACGGTATATTCTCATTTCAGGCTATTATATAATATGTTCTGCAAAAACTGGCTAAAGTATCCTGCAGAAATGTTCTTTAAGCTGCTCCAAGAATCAGAATTAAGTTCTGTGCTGATATATGAGGCCAAAATGAGGAAACTGTTCCAAGTCCTAACCTCTAACTTTCAAATGAAACCAAAAGAACCTAAACAAGGAGTGGAGGCTTGTCAATGATTATTACAGTATGGCTTTAAAGCTCTGACCTGGGGTTTCATTTTTAAAGCTTGCATATAACTTGCCTGAAACCTGCGTACGCCACTTTCCATACAAATTTGATGTATAGAAAAGCAAAAAAAAGAACATGCCTTAAAAATAGGCAGTTTCACTCTGACTCATGCGTCACAGATTTAGAAAGCAGCAGACAAGGTGGGGGAACAGCAGCCAAATTGCATCATAATTGCTCTTAGACATCTAATATGAAACTTTAATGATCGATTTTATTGGATTCAAAACCAGTCTGTGATAAATGCTTGAACATCTGTGCTGTATCTATACATGAGGACCTGTAATCAAAGTGGGTTAAGTACCCCAACATTTCACTTAAGTAACTAGTGCTATGATGTAGCACTACTTCATCATATTTTTACTCAAGTGAAAGTAAAAAGTAGCCTTTAAAAAAATGACTCAAGTAAGAGTTAAAAGTACTGATCTACTTACTACCCATATTTATAACAGATTTAATATGTTTTAAGTTATAAAACTTACCAAATCAATAGATACAGAATGTAGAATAGATTAAATTACAGTAAATTGTAACTCCAAATGACACAGCTGACTCATCAGATGGAAAAATCACATTTAAACGTCAAGTCAGAATGTAAGAAAGCGTCTTTCAATGGTACATATTTGTTTAAAACCAGTGTGTTTTCATTAAGTGAAGACAAACTGGATGGAGTGGCCAAAAATTTCACTCATTTAAAGTAGTGATACTTTATCAGGGTTTTACTAAAGTAAACATAAGAAGTACAATGCTGTTAAACTACTTTTACAAGTAATTGTTTTTCTAAAAGTTACTGAAGTAAATGTAATTGAGTAAATGTAACTTGTAAGTACAGACCTCTGCCAACAATACAAAAAAAAAGCTTCATAAGCAGCTTCAATTCTAAACCGAAGTGTACCCCATATTAAAATCATGTTAAACATCCACATTCCTTTCCCTAATGAACAGCTAGTTGAGTCATGGACTCAGACAAACTTTATTATCATAGCACAGGTAATGCTGTGAGATGGATACTCTGGCTCTGCTGGAGGATGTTTTAAAGGGACAGTTAGGAGGAAACGTGTTTTCAGAGAACACCAAGGTTTCCTGGCTCATGATGATGACTGACTTATAATAAGCTGATAAGACTATTTAGAACAATGTTTTGGTTATATAATAGCAGAGTGTTGGCATAGTGGGGTGGAGCACTGCTCTTGTGCTTTGAGAAGGTTGCAAATACCCAGTTTGATCCTCACAGCCTCCACTCTGGGTTCCTGAGCAAAACCCTTAACCCCACACTGCTCACCAGATGCCGCACAATGGCAGCCCACTCCCCAAGGGGATGGATTAAATGCAGAGATACATTTCTGCAATGTGAGATGAATGAAGTTCAGTTATATTATATAAGCTAAACTGGATCCAATTGGAGAGACTGACCCATAGGACCCACAGTATCCTTTTTCAACAAAAGGTCCGTTTGCAAAGACGGAAGGGTAGCTTCTAAAGAAGCACAGTTAAATATGGATAGCAAGCACTGTGGTAGATTTAAGGTTTGAAATATATTCATAAGCTATATATTTGCAACACATTCTCACTCCCAACTAGTACAAATACTGATGTTTGGTGAAAGCTCACATGCTGACATGAAGAGGTTATCCTTTTCGTCATATATTGATGCCCAGGGTTAATGACGGGCTTTGGACATTGTATCATGTTACCAATGATTCATTTATTTTTTTTATACTTTAACCTACAAAATTATTGTTGTTATCTTTAGAAGTGCATGGTAACATGTATACTAGTGTTTCTTTTTCGGTTTAAGGTTAAGGTAAAGGATGGGTTATTGTTGCAATTGATGCAATATTTTGGCATTATAATAATTTGAGGTGCTATTTTCAAAAGTTTGTGCAACAGAATACACCCTTTTCATCGGTAAATGAAGAGCAGGGAAGCCCAGTGGCGTCATTATCTGACACACAGGGGGCTTGACCAAGCATCAGTATTTGATGCCTTGGTAGAGAGAATGTTTTAATATTTGATATATATAAAAATAAATACGTTATGCTTCATGACATATGTAGATCATTCCCCCAAAACACCAGACGTCGTTTAGACGTTGGTTTTTAAGCTAAATCTGGATGATCATTGAAGTCTCGATTGAATCCAGATATAATTGTTGAAAATTTGGTCGGTCTGATTTTGTCCCACTTTAGTCCAATAATAGACACTGGAGAGATGTTGCAAACCCAGTCTTCAATGTCTTTTAAACGATCTGAAAAATAAAGCTTTTTACCTTTTACTTTTCAACCAAATGTAGATGTAGTTTTGACGTAAATCTGTCGTCTTTTCAATGTCTTTTCAACCAATTTTCATTTGGTGGGCTATGTAATGAGATTAATACTTATCCAAAATAATCTGTGTAGGAAGGGCGGGGATAGTTGCAACACTTTCTGCATTTTACCAGGTTACTAAGAGATGGTTTAGATTAGACAAAAGCTAAATTTATACTGCAAATTTAGCAGATTAATGAAATTACATTTCAAAATTGTATCTAAATACAAACAATAAATATTTCACTGTTTAAGTATTATGTATTTTCATTACTTTCTAATTAAAATATGTTTTATTTTACAGTGTTTTTTGTTCAGTTTTGATTCGATATCAGTTATACAATTCCCAAGGTGAGAAGGCTTTATTTGCAGACATCAAGAATTCAAACTGATGTAATATACATTAGGCCTTTAATGACATAGAAGGAATGTAACAATCTGTGAGAAAAATACATTTTTTCTTCAATTGTCATTTTATGCATTCACTTTAAAAATGAATGATTGAGAAAATTAGGCTTAAAAAAGCATTTGTGAAAACCACAATGTAGAAAATGCAACAACATTAGCTGCCATAAACGCTTGATTACCTACTAAGGTATCTACTAAGGTACAGTACACAACCAAATAATTACAACTAGGAATATATTTGCAATATTGACACTTTTATACATTTTATGGATATTTTTACACAAATAGATCACTATATTCCCCTTAGCACATAAGCAGAGTTGTAAAAAAGCGTGCGCACACATAAATGTCCTGTCCCTGCTTGAACCTGATTAAATGCATCATATTAAAGTAATAAATCTAAAAAAACACGGTTAAACACGCTGCCATGTGGTCTATACCAGGTGTTCCCACTGTTTTCCTGTCTGTCATGGTGAAACCTCATATACGAGCTAAACTAGGTGATATGATTCATGAAAACAGCATTTAAAAAGTTACAAGTTACCACCTGTTTAAATTGAGAAAGGTGATTTAAACCAGTGATGAATCATGTGCAGTACTGGTGCCAACGCTCCAGCTTGTTTCTGATTGAAGAAAAATTACAAACCCTGTTGAAATTGTCCCTGGTTTTCCCATGTATAGAATGAAACATTTGAATATAATAAACTGATTTAGCAGAATCACATCCATCCTCCGCCTGGATTAAATCTTATAGAAACCACAGAGGGCAGCTTATTTAGATTTGTAAATTTTTTTCGAGGTGTTACCTCTCTGAGGTTTATTGTGAACACCTCTTAGCATCATGAAAAAAAATCTAAGATTTTACAGCCGGATCCTTGTAGCCTTCAGCCAAGAAACTCCAACAAGGTGAAAACAAAAAAAAGAAATTACATCATCAGTTTCCTTGAAACAATGAAAAAGATCCAACTAATTTAAATTCAAAGTCAATTAAACAGACCTATATTTTAATACAATGCATTTACATTGAGGGTATGAAGTGCTCATTATAAGAAAAGCCAGCCAAAGGTATTCGGTCTCAGTCTTAGCAGCAATCCCTCATGCTGAGCAATTCAGATGTTTAACAGTTAAAAAGGAGAACTCCTCTTTAACAGGAAGAGACATGCAGCCGAACCGGGTTCAGTGCGAACAGCGTTCTGCCACACCCTGCTGGGGAGTTCAGCAGAAACATCAAAAACACTCTGGCTTTAAAGAAAGGTCTGGAATGTCTGATGTAAGAATAAAAAAATCCATTAATCTAACAAATGCATGAAGGATTTCTGCATCACCGTAAAGAAGGATATTTTTAGTTTTGGCCCTTTGTGCAGAAGAGAGAAGTAGAAAACAGAAAGAGGTTTATTCTGGTCTTTTTTGAATACTTTTGAGCCTTACCAAACACCAACCTATTGCTCTTCATCAAGCTGTCAAATATTTCTAATCCTCTTTAACCTTTATGATGTAGAGATCGAACATAATATTTGTTAATTAGCAGGAGCGGATTTAGGAAATTTGGGGCCCTAGGCAAAGAATGGCAGGGGGCCGTCTGAACTGGAAAGACAACACATAAAAGAGACCCGTTATATAGATATAAGAATTTTAATAGACATACATTATTTTTTCTACGTTTTGTCCCTCTCTTCTTGTTGTTTTCCTCTCTATGTTTTGTACTCCACTGACTTGTCATGCTGTCTCAAGCACTAAGCACACTAAGCTGATTGCTCCTTCCTGTGTTTCCAAAAAGGAAATGGCAAAAGTCAATAACAATCCTTATTTTCACTCTAGACAAGCCATGATCTGCTTATCTGTTCTCCATTTTTCATTTTTATGAAATAATAGCTGCATGAATCATGAAAGCAGACAATATAGAGAAGAGCAGGAAGGGGGGTGTTACCAATCTACTTGCTCTGGAGAGCAGAGTTCGCTGCTGCAGTGTTCGCTGCATATGTTGCCGCCAAAGTCTCCAGTAGCAGAAAAAAAGTCTCTAGATTTGGCTCTAGCGATGTTTTAATTGGACTACATAAAAATAAAACCTCTAGAGGGTCTGAAAAGTCGCTAAATATAGCAAGAAAAGTTTCTCAACACTGCTCTTCACATGGTTTGTTTTCAAATGTCTGTTTGGACCTTTCTGAATATGTGCAGCAAATGGACTGGTCCAGTGTGGTGGACACTGAAGGGGGGAGCTGAGACACGCTATTATAAGCATTCTAATGGCATTTTACCAGAAGGATGTTTATCAAAAACATATTTAATGTGCACAAATAAGAATTTGCTGTATTCATCATACATGTAAACAGAGTTTTATGGGGCCCCCAGAAACTTGGGGCCCTAGGCAACTGCCTAGTATTGCCTAATGGTAAATCCCCCCCTGTTAATTAGTTGGGTTTCTGAACATAGACCTCACACAAAGCAGACCCTGACAAATATTTATAATCTGACCTTAAATTGGTTTATTTTTGTCTGTATTTTCTCAGCCTTTTTTTTTTTTTTTTTTGCTCATTTGCTTGAAGTCGATTTATTTTGTTTTACTGATCAACTTTTACAAATTCAAATCAAATCCTGGTTTTCTTCTTGGCATTAAGCTCATCATACTCCCTTTCAGACTCACAGAATAAGTTGTGCATTAACATGTATTTGAGCATGTAAATTTGATAGTAAGATATTGGATGTACATTTAGAAAAATTTAAGTATTTATTATTGCCTTTTGTTGGTGAGATGTCTGCCTGAAATAAAAAAAAAAAGGAGTATCATCCTCATCATTAAAGTTTTAAAACATGCATTTACCATATTTGGAAATAACTTTCCTATAACTTCAGAATATTTTGGAATTTCTGCAGAATATTTACTCAATTCAATTCAGTTTCTTCATATAGCACCATTTCACAACACGTGTCATCTGAACGTGATGTACAGAGAAAATACAGTCAAACTTTGAACTTGCAGGTTTTTTTCTATTCTATCGGTTTTCTCTCCTATGGAACAAAATACTTCTGCAGGTCAAGTCAGTATATTTGGTCAGTTCTCATCTTTATGATGATTTTAATATTTTCCAAACTAATCAGATTTAACCTGCAGGCAGAAGTGCGTGTGTCAATGAAGCCCCTATGTAAGAAAAGCCTCCAGGTCATACATCACCACCTCTCAGCTGTGCAGGCCTAAAATAACGGCTCCTTTAACAGCTTTAGTCTCATTTCAGAGATGGCAGAGATAAGCCATGGTTAATGACGCTGGTTTCTCAACATAGAGACTGCAGCTAAACTGATCACTCTGGGGTAACGCTTACTTATATAGCCTTATCTGAAGGCTTTAGTCTTCACATGATGGTTTCTGTTTTTATCTGCTCAGCACATTCACATTAAATACAGCAGATGCAAAAATATCTTCTTAAGTCTTATATGGTCGTATTAATAAATGTTTCCAACCCAGTTTTAAACAGAAAGCTATTATTGTGACAGCTTATGGGCATGCCAAAAGAAACAACTCAAATGGCACATTTTCAAAAAGCCACTTCCTCAGTGATTCAGGCAAATGTCACCATGGTTACGGTTTCTGCTATCGAGGGCACTAATATTTAGTAAACATTTCAGCATCATTAACTCTGTTATTGTTTATTCTGTGAAACCGCATCATATCTGATACCCAGAATGTGAAAATACACGTCTTATCAAATAAACATTTTAATATAGAATAATTCTTTAATTTATGAAGGGATATACCTATAGCTTGAGGTGGATAAAACGGACAGTTTATTAATGACATGCACTGTATAGTATAATATAGGTTGACCAGATTTGGGTTTCTGAAAATGAGGACCCTTTTTGTTGTGGGAGGGGTAGCTGCAGCTACCGTCACTGGGTCGGGTTTGGTTGCTCCGTCCCCCGCTGGCTCCCTACCTCCTTCTACCTGACTTCCCGGACCAGCTATGGACCTGACGGCTCGGTTCTGCTGCTCTGCAGTCAACCAAAATCCCGGATGATTTTGAAATTCCTCCCCCGGCCATTTTTTAGATATGAAAAGTAGGACATGTCTGGGAAAAAGAGGAAGTCTGGTCACCCTATATACAATACATACAATGAAAAGAGATAAATATTTATACTTAATACCCTTTATGTTAGTGTCAAGTTGGGTGGAGGATTGAAGAGGACCCAAATGCAGAGACGGAAGCTGAGGTGGTTTCCTGCAGATTTATTATCCAAAAAGTGGCAACAGGAGCAAAAGTCAAAAATAACTGAATACAGGAAACCAAAATACAAAGAAATGTCGGGAAAATACATACAAGGAGCCTTGAACCAACTAGGAACCAGCAAACAGTATAAATGTCAAACAGAACAAAGACTAGGCTAATGAACTGATTGGGAGCAGGTGTGGACAGAAGAAGCTAGAAGGGAGCTAGGGAAAGCAGACTGACACTAAAGGGCAACAGAAAAACAAGAAATACAGAGAACTCAAATATAAATCAATTAAAAAAAAGAAAACTTACCGGTAAACAGAACCAAAAAGTGCAAAACAATGACAGTTAGTAGAAATTACATTCAAGTTGCCCTACTCATCTTTGGTCATGAAATCTAAATGTTAAAATCTATAAATGTTACAAATTAATCAACTAAACATGTTTAAAACAGGCTTTAGATTAAGATAAACCCATTTCAAATCGCTGACAACAGAACTGTAATATAGATTACAGCCTCTCAATTAGTGAGCTTTTCCTAATAGTTGGGTAGTTGGTGAAATAATTTCCAAAAGTTTTAGGTCTGCCTGTATTTTGAATGAGCTGAACTATTGGACACCATTGCAACCTAAAAGTTTGCAACTCTTATCTCCACGGCTCTGGTTGGATCGAAATGAGCTTGCAATTTTTTCTTCCGTTGTTTCAACCCTCAGTCCACAGAAAATGTTAAAGTGACTTAAATGCACATGCTACAGTTTGAGCTAATTTATTTCAATGCTGCCAAATAAATAGAATAACTGTATAATCGTGTCTGCCTGCTAAAATGTTTCTGCAAAATAAATGAACTCAAAATGAAAAAAAAATGTTAGTTGCAGGGGCCACCAACTATGTGGCCATCAGACAGTTTAAATTTATCCTCTGTTTTAAAGCTTCATAACATGCTAAAGGTAGAATAGTGGAGTAGAAGCTAGGTGGTACAGTCAACTTCTCACTTTTCATAAAAACAAATCACTATTAAACAGTTGCTCCCATTCATCCATGGGGTCTCTATCTGATGTCCAGTATTTCATACCAATATGTGTAAAAAGAAAAAAAAATAAACAGATAAATTCGTACATTTAGTTTTGACAATTATGTGTGTATTTATCTGTGTCTGAGCTTCACATGTGATTTATAATGTAAATTTTTTATCTAAACCACACCAAGCAGACATTATTAAAACTTGCTGCACCCTGTTAACCAACAGTATGTTTTATCTGATTTTGTGCAGGAAAGTGTCGGCCAGCATCTGTTCCTGCTGGTGAGCGCGCTAACGCAGCAGATCTCCAAGGGCCCCGTGGACTGTGTGACGGGGAAAGCTCTCTATACGCTCAGTGAGGACTGGCTGCTTTGGCAGGCTCAGGACTTCACCCCACTGGTACACAGACACCCCCACCACACACACACACACACTTCATATGAGGCGGATTCGGTTAAAACTCTTTCATAAGAGCTCCAGTGCGTTGTACTTCCACAAAAGTGAAGCTTCCTGATTCTCTGTTCTGTTTTTACTTCTCTGGTTTGGTAACATCAGAACTAAAGAAACAAACGTTTTCAATAGGCTCACGTTTACCTCATCGATGACCATTTTTAATGCTATATATCCATTAATGTTCCAGCGTGTCCACTGAACTGAATCCATTTCTGGAAATAAGAAAGAACTTATCAGCACACAGGAACTGATGGTAACTTCCTCCCCATGTATAAAAAGTCTTCTTTAAACATGCAAAACAAAACAGGTTCAAAAATACTTATCAGCTTTTTGATTACCACATGAAAGTGTAAAAAAAAATCTATGATCTACAGATAAAAACCCTCTGGCCTGCATCTAACACATTAGAAGAGGAAGAAACGACTGATAGATGTGTTATCTGAAAGCAGTAAGCAAACAGTATTAAATGTTGAGAAATGGTTTAGTGGTTTGTCGTCTGTATGAGAGCTAACAACGCAGGGGGGCTAGGTAATAACGACTTATTGGTCTAATGGAAATTCCAGGCAATGCTGACCCAGGAAGAAGCCGTAAAAATGTATTTATGTCCCATCAGGGCTTTTTGAACACATGACCTGTAAAAGGGCTCTTTAAATAAAGAATTAGAGCAGAGTTCATTGATTAAAAACTGTGGTTACATGTATTTTCATATAAATCAAGGTTTTCTGCGCAACAGCAATGATGAACTGCATGGCAGCTTTCTATATCCAGCTATTGTAGTATCTAGGAAAGAGCTGTCTGTCTGGTAAATAATCTGGTTGTTATACGAAATTGTAAAGGTTATCTTTTTTCTTTGCAACATAAAACTGACTAAAACTATCACATTTCATAGGGACTAAAATGGGACTAAGACTAGTAATAGTTTTCGTCCTGAAGACTAAGACCAAATCTAAGATGGTTGCCAAAAACACTACTGCTTACATGTCATCTCAGAGCACTTTACAGAGACGATTCAACCAGATCATAAAGTCAGATTGGTTCAAAACCAGCTGATTGCATCGGCTCATTGACTCGACAGAAAGACCTCATAGCGAGCATGCATGTAGCGACAGTGGAGAGAAAAAAAACTCCCTTTTAACAGGAAGAAAACTTTAGCAGAACCAGGCTCAGTGTGAGCGGCCATCTACTGGGGTTCAAAGGGATAGAAGAAAACACACAAAAAGAAGCAGAAATACAAAAGGTAACTGTTAACTAACTCCACTAACGCCCCGTCCAGGATAGACACGTCCAACCAGAAAAGCTCTGAGCCAGTTTCCATGTCAGAGGATGAAAGAGAGAAGATCCACTTAGTCACAGCAACAGAAACAGGACAACACTGAAAAACAGGCCAGGCTCCTACATCTATAAATGAAGGTGTTAAAGGCAGCAGCCCAACTGATATTTCTGTCCAGGATGGAGTCACAGCTGAACAAGAACAGACCGGATGAAGCTACTAGGATGAGAGAAAGCAGAGAGCATAAAGTTAGAGGTTAAAGTAACAAATAATGCAGAAATGCAGAGTAGAGATAGAATGATAATGAGTGGTCCCTATGCCCTCCAGCAGCCTAAGCTTATAGCAGCATAACAATAGTTATAGCTCTGGATAACCTGAGTTTGTGGACTTTCTGATAGTAAAGAATTACAATAATCCAGCCTTGAAGTACCTTTCATGTTTTACATCATCAAAAAAATATATATTTCTATCTGATTGCATAACTTACTACACAATTTAAGAAAAGAGTTTGTCTCAGCTTAATGGCAGAAATTAATGACCTGATGTTCTTCCTCAGGTCTACTTAACAGCTTTCATATCACAACTTTGAGTGCCTGCAAAAGCAGCCACTGACCAACACACTACCACTACAGTGTTTTACTTTCAGTCATTTCATGTTTTTTCAAACCCTTTGTCAGTTTCAAACTAAATGCAACAGGAACCACAGCTTTCAGATGGTTTTACATATTCCGTCATCAAGACATGTTCTGGTAAATATAAGATGGCACTTTCTGTTCTTTTTGTTGGAAGGTTTTTTGGTCTTGAATTTTTCCAACAAAGACATTTTTGCCCATTCTCTCTATCTTATTAATAACCAACGAGGCCTGACATAGTTTGGACATTTTTTCCTCCTTTATGGTTTTCCTGTAAGAGTAATTTTGGTAGACCAGTAATTTTAAGTGTTCAGCAATGTTCAATAGCTTCGTTGGATGACAACTCTCCCTTTGGCTTATTGGAGTTTTTGGAGTCTCACAGCTTAAAATTATAGAGCTCATAGAGTGCACTCATTTTGTAGTTTATGTTGTGTCTGTTTTTGCTCTGATCTCTTAAAAACACTTTCCTGTTTTTTTTTTGGATCGGTACGTTTTTGCCTGTTTTGGCAAAGTAGTGCTAATCAAAAGCAATTTTACTTCATGAAATTTGCAAATTGTGTGCAATAAACACCTTTTCTCATGAAGCAGACAATAATGAAAATAAATTGAGATCTGAGCTGATTGTTTCTCCTCCTTCAGAAGCTGAAGGTGCTGTTTGCAGTGGGCAGTGATGGAGAAGTAAGCGAGCCTCTGGAGGTGGACGCTCTCAGCTGTGACACCGTGGAGCAGCTCAAGGAGAAAATCCTCAACACCTTCAAATCCAAGTTCGGCTTCCCCTACAACACGCCTGTCAGAGACGTTTGCATCGGTGAGTTCGACCCATATGTCCACAGTTCTTACCTTCCTTAGTTAAAAACAATTTATTTATATAGCAACCTTTATACACAGAGGGAAAAAAGTCATTTGTCTTTAAAACACTGACAAGTGATAAACTAAGTGCTTGACATGGTTTCTATCTGATTAGCAACCGTAAACTTTATTTAGAAAATGTTCATAAGGTTGTAATATGCTGCTGTGTTGCCAGACCTTATTTGGTCTTTAAATTTCCGATCAGAGTCCACATTCAAACCTGCTGGGTTTTTTCCTTTCCTTGTGGTGTTTAGCACCATTTACTAACTGTTTATTTTGGAACCAACAATTAATGACTTGTTAAAACTTGACTTAACCACAGAGTATTTTGGACACATTATTTCACCTCTCTGTGTTATATAGTGTACGTCATGGGTCGGCAACCCTTGGCTCCAGAGCCGCATGTGGCTCTTTAGCGCCCCCCTTACGGCTCCCTGGAGCTTTTTCAAAAATGTATGAAACTGAAAAAATTTTGATTTTTTGTTTTGTTTTAATATGGTATGCAGCAGGTCAAATAAACATTCATTATGTTTTCCAAAACTGTAGAAATTAGACTAATAAATACAAAACATCAAATGTAAACATTTCTGTCAATAAAGATTTGTGTCATAGCCTGCAACACACGTTTCAGCGCAGCACGGTGCCAGGCAGGTGGCTGTTGTATACAAACCTGAGGAAGTGTCTCAGACCATGGATCCCAAGGGGAAAAAAAGGAAAATAGCTGATGAGAATAAAGGATTCAAAGAAGGATGGACCAAATCATTTGCTTTCATTACCAATGCGGAAGGATGGTCTGCATGTTTGCTTTGTAATGAGAAGTTGTCAAAAAATAAAAAGAGTAATTTGGAAAGTCCAAGGAAGGCATGCTAAATTTGCAGCTGACCACCAAGTTCGGAGTGACAGAAAAAGTGTGACTGTAGAACTTCTTGATAAATTAAAGGAGAGCAAATATAGCTTTAAGAATTGTATTGCGTCTCCAAACTCCACTACTGCTGCTAGTTTTGTTGCAAGCATGGAAAATCGTTCACAGATCGAACAGGTAGCGCTCTGATGCAGGGATGGGAACTTTCTTCCATTTTTTCCCCAAATTCTTAAATTAAAATCTGATTTCTTTATCATGTCTCTATAAATTCATCAATACATTAATACACTGATCATTAATACATACAAACCATGCAGTGAGAGCATTTACTGCTCCTCCTTCACCTCATGCTACTAAGGAATTTAAAATATAAGGACCAAATATCGTACAGCAGAGTAGTTACAAGATGTCACATTTGCTCCAGGATAAAAATGTAATCATTAATTCTTATTATATATTTAAGCCCACATAGTCCTTTTTTATAATGGGCTAATACACTTAGAGCCTGTGTTGCCATATTGGGCTTATATAAGACATTTTTGTGGATCCAGACAGGTTTTTTATTTTTTATTTTTTGGTCCAATATGGCTCTTTGAGCAGTTTGGGTTGCCGACCCCTGCTGTAGCTGGTAGTTTGAGGGTTTCGTCTCAACCGTTTCTGTAGGAAATGGAGGTTTCAATGGATTTTTAAAAGTTTTTGATGTAAACTTGTAAGTCCACAACCTACTGTCATCCTACTGTCATCTTTTTTGAGGTTTTGTCTTTATTGCGTGACCCATTGCTACAAATCAGCAGAAAATAGTTTGTGACGATACTGAAGTAATGCTGTTTTTTTTCCTTGATATTGCATCCAGTAAAACGATTGGTTGCATTAGTTTACAGCAGGCATGCCAACCTCATTCCTTAAGGGCGCCTGTCCTGCAGGTTTTAGAGCTTTGCTTGCCTTAGCACAGCTGATTTCCATTAACAGCATTTAAAAAGAGTGACCAAACTATATAGTGCTCTATATAGTGATTAGGGCGGACATTCAGACACAGCCATTGTAAACCTGTTTGGTTTTATTAAACCACAGTGTGTTTTTTATTTATAGTCAAACCACAAAAAAATATTTGTCTTTCTTTCTGGTTGCACAATTTTCTTTAATAATAAAAAAAAAGCTTCCTCTGCTTCAGGAAATAATTTGCCTTCTCATTAAAACACACATTCCGGTATTGCTATATGTAGTGAGGACCATGTGTTTACTCCCATTGATTTTCACATATCTTTAACCCTTTCTGTGCCCTGACCCTGACAGGAACCCTAAACCTAACCATTAACAGTGCAAACCTCACCCTAACACTAAACTAAATCAAGTTCACACCTCAGCCCCAAACCTTACCTCTTGCAACAGAGCTAGTCAGGACCAGGAAAATTTCCTCACTTTACATCAATCGGAACTCACTTAGCTGGTAAAATAAGGAAAATATGCTTCTTACTCACATGCTCAAACTGGGAGATGCAACCAAAAACAAATACCTTGTATTTCCTGCATTGAACTTAATGCATCTGTATCTTAAGAAATGCAAACACTTGGTTACATGATCTTTAGATTGGAGGTATTCAACAATGTCATGACCCCCGCAGAGGGAGGTACTGCATGGGTGGTTAATCTAAAATGTACGTTGTTTTATAGTAAAAAAATCAGCATGTTAAATCTACATGAAACTACTGCCCTACCCCCCTCTATGGAGGACCTGAAGAGACTGAAAAAGAAATAAGAACATTTCAAATTAAATATCCAAATCATACATGCATGTTTTTTTTATTGCACAAATTAAATGTAATTATTACAGAGGAATTGTAAGTATTTATTAATCCATTATTGAAAACAATACTCAATAATTTAAAAATTTATTTCAAAATCCATTTTCATATTAAAAAACCAAATTCATAAATCTCATTATAAAAAGGTTTTTATATTAAATATTTGAAAAGTTCATGCTCATAGCACTTTCCTTTTTCCATTTGGCTTTTGGAAGAACATTGTTAATAAGCTATTACTAAACCAGTTATTAGCCATCATAAATCTATTTATAAGCTGTTAAACTGTAGCTAAACTGTTAAAAGGGTGAAACTAAATAACTAATTAATTGCAACAAAACTATGAGCTGTAAGTATATTGTTCCTTAGAAAGGAAGTAGAAAGAAACAATGACACGAAATTTGATTAACTACTGGAGACCGCCCAGGGAACTAATGAGGAATTAATTGGTAGTTAATCAGTACTTACTGGGGAACACCCAGCCCAGGATTATTATGGCACCGCTGCTTTGTTACCTGTGAAACACTAATTATTAATCAGTAACTAATGTGTATTCACTGAGGAAATGAGCATAACCAATCAGGAACTAATGAGTAATTACAATAAAAACAAGGAGAACTAAAAGTTCACGAGTGGCTTATTAGGGGACTACTGGTTTATTACCACAACAACAGCAGAAATTAAAGAAATGTTGATTCGGAATAAACTTTAAACCTGAGAGGGCAAAGCTTAAAGGTATAATGGAGGATTTTCACTGATTTTTGAAAAGACTCGCCCTCTCCACTAAAATAAAATGTACATGCACAACCCTGTACCTGTTGCCGAGAGGGAACGCCTATTAAACACATGCGAGAGCCCATTTCTCCTCCTGCATGCTCTGTTTAGAAGCTGCTGTTTCACCTAACATCCAAGAGGACTCTCAGTTCTAACTAGTGGTGGGGAGCCCGTAGCTTAATATACTGTAGGTGTAACAGAGAATAAAAAAAGGATAAAAGGGAAAAGGACCCTTAGTTAGAAAACTTTGAATCAATTTGATGATCCGGTGAACTGTAAAGTGCCTTGACAACAACATGTGTTGTGAATTGGTGTTATATAAATAAACTGAATTAAATTGTAAAACACAAGGTAGCTGGAGGAGGTGTTAAGAAAAACCTGTTTCTTGTTAATAACATAGTTCATTGGTTCTCTCTTTTGTAAACCTGTTAATGAAAGACGTTATCACTTTTGCTTTTTAGTTCTGCTGTCATCCTAATTATCTTTATCATTTAACGAGGACCAAATCATTGCCTAGCTAGTATTCTATGGACTTTTTGGAGTAAAGCATCATACCAAGTAGTTAATAAAGAAACAAACATTAGCTAATTAGCACCTGACCATTAACTAATGTTTTATCTACTCTTAAGTAAAATGAAACTACCCAATGGGTCCTGATTAGTTCCTTGTTTCTTTGGTAATGAAGCAGTATTCCCATAATAAGGATGGGTTGGGTTGTTCTCCACTGGTTACCTTCCCATTAGTTCCTGATTAGTTTACTAGATATTATCTAGTCGTTACGGAAATGTTTTGGACTTTATTTTCAAGTGTTACCAAATAAAATGCAAATCCAAAAAGGCTTAAAAATTTCAAGCTCAAAAAGGAAAACAGAAGTGGGAAAAGGAATTGCCTCTTTGAATGTTCAATAAGGAAAGTTATTTATAATCAAAATGTTTTACGGTTTTCAAATCTTCTTTTAGAAACAGGATTTGAAAATACATATTCAAATTGTGGATCATGGATACAATTGTATTTTGTCTTTAACAAAAAGCTGAATTTCCAATGGTTGTATTTCTTTTTCATTGACTCTCCTGGTCCTCCATACCCCATTGCAGGGGATCTTATATCCGTTTCTTCTTTATTCTGGGTCCCTAAAGATTGTCAAAGACGCCTGCTTTAGCTCAAACTAATAAATCTTTCTCTCCTTCCAGAACTGGAGAAAGGTGGATCGTTTTTTCCTCTGCAGGAGGTGGATGCAGGCTCCGAGGTGATCGGGGAGGTGACTAAGCTCAACACACTCAGACACTATAAGGTGAGACTTTCAACTGTAATAGAGATTTACATAGTTTAAAACAACTGTATGAGGGCGGTGCAGAGGCTGAGATGTTACAAACAAACAGATACATATGCAGCTTTTTTTACTGCTGTGAAAGCAGGCTGGGGGTGTGGAGCTGAGTCAGGGCTGGTGGACAGAGCAAGTGACTCTTTAACCAACAAAAATGATATGGACAGAAAATGTTGCCTAAACTGCAAGATGAAGAGGAAGAAGGTTTTTTTTGGGGGGAGGGGCTAATGGCACCAGCGCCATCACTCAGTTTCACTTCTACTTTATAAGAAACTTGTGATCCGGTTTAGTTGTTGCTGTCAGAGGGAATCAACTTGTTTTCCTCTGATGCAACAGCTTGATAAGCAGAGGACATGGAAAACGGTCATCCTTTAGTCAGCGCATCTAGAAAGGGTGGAGCTTTTTTTTATATAAAGGGAAAAAGATGGGGCGAAAAATGCTGCGTAATGGCTTATATGGTCATTCTGCTCCATCAAGATGTCCTGAACATGAAATGTATCACAGCTAGTTTGTTTTTCTCTCCTTTTTTCTTTTTTCATATGTCTCTGTTTTTTTATGCACAAATCATCCACATTATCTTTATTAGTTGCAAATTCCTTTCAATAAAATTATGCATTTGCCTCAGTGCAAATTGTTATCACCTTCTTGGGGTAAATTTTACAGATCGCCATAAGGCTGCCTCATGTCTGCCTTTAAACCTAATGCCTCAGTATTTCTTTTTGTGTTTATGATACTGCATCATAACCCATTTGAGGTCAGGCCAACCCAGACTGCCTCAGATTTATTTTGAACTTGACATTATTTTGAACTTACATTTGTGCCATTAACAGATTAAGGATGTTCTTTTTCCGGGTGGATCATCAAATAATTTGTCGTCCAATTATTTCAATAATCAATTAATCAAGATTAATCTGCTTAATTTTTTCAGCTCTAGATTTCATATGAAATGAATGCAGTTAGAATGTGGGAAACTCACTAAGGTTTTAAGATGTGTCCCCAAATGTTTAGTTTATCCTCAAATGTGGAAAAAAAAGATAAGTAGAGCAAGATGTTGATTTCACAACAAACATAACCCAGCAGCCATGAATGTAACAAATATGGAGGACACTTCTTCTGCTTTAGACTCGTACAGGACATGTTTTTTATAAGCCACAACAGACGGCAAAATCAGAAAGTGTATGAAACTGAAAATAGGGCCGGTATTAAAGAGCCCAAATTAGAACGTTTTCAGTTTCAACACATCTGTTCAAATAGAAAAACAAATTAGCTTTCAGTTTTTCACTTTTTAGTCAAAAATGGATTATTTGTTTTCAACACTGAACAAAGGATTGGTGCATCTGAAGCTCCTGGATTGATTTAGCTATTTAATTCAACCAGTTCCTTTATGTACTTGTTGGAAATAATCTGGTTAATCTATTCTGTTTTTTTAGATTGATGATGGGGCAACAATTAAAGTGCTATCAACTAAAACTCATCCTCCGCTAAGCCCACAGGGGAGTGTGCAAGGTAAGAACCGATATACATAGAGCGTCATCTTCTGGTCTGAGATCATAGCTAAACATAGTTTCAAAGGAGGGAAACTTTTTCTCTAAATATAGTCCATTCCTCCTTAATTTAAAGTGAAAGTATCTATCATCCAGCACTGCAGAGATGGGTATGACACAAAGAAGGTGCTTCATTGTCATGCTGCATGCTGATCTCATTCTGCAACAGAGGTGTGAAAAATGTCTTAGGGTGTTGTTTCATATTTGGTCTTCTAAATACAAAAAGTGTTGCTCTTTGAATGTTTTTTTTCTAAGAAATGGGGAACATTTTACCGCACTGTTGTTACCATCAACAATGGCTAAAAAAGACTCTGCAATGAGTTAGAAGCAAAGGACACCACAAAGTTTAAACTTAGGTTAAGATTGTGGTTTGTTCAAATCTGCAGGAGCAGATAATTCTAGTCAGAAATATATTATTACTGCTGCTCGAAATCTACCTAATATGTTTCAATCAATAATTCATTGCTGAGATAACAACTAAATTATTATATTATGCTAAGTAATGTATATTAATCAATCAATGAATTACTGCCATGTTTTTTTTTTTTTCAATCTTTAGTTTTGTGTCTCCATAAAAAAACACGGGTTCACCGTGGGCCCCCTGGTAGATTAGGTCTAGAACCGGCACTGTAAATATTCCAATTTGCATTTATTTTTTACACTTTAACAGAAACAAATAAACGTTGGTTTCATTTTAATTAATCAATATCTCGTATAACGTTTTTCTTTGTTTGTTTGTTTTTTCCGCTGGTTTGTTTTACTGCATGTTTTATGTCTAATAAAGCAATAAATTGTCTGATCACGTTACTTCCTGTTTACTTTTTTTTCTAGATGATGAAAACTTCTGTGGAAAGTACTTCCATTTGGTAGGAGGCTGTTTTTTACTCCAACTTCATAGTTTTCGCTCTAATGCCTATTTAACAGGATAGTTATTGAGTGCAGCTAATGGGTTGGTTGGTGTTGTTGGTGCAGATTGATCCTGATGTGGTGGAGGAGCAAGGGAGGAACCCAGAGAGGAAGAAGCTCAAACTGAAAGAGGTGTACCTGACCAAGCTGCTCTCCACCAAGGTAGGATCAACTGGTTCCAGTGCAGCTCTCTGCTGGGACAAACAGAAGTAGGAAAAAAAAGATTTTTTTAAGGTTTCCTCATGACGTTCAGTTGTTCTGTCTCCTGCTCTAAGGTGGCCGTTCATTCATATGTGGAGAACCTCTTCAGGTCCATCTGGGGGATGTCCCAGAGCAGAGCCCCACTCGCCATCAAATACTTCTTTGACTTCCTGGATGCTCAGGCAGAGAACATGAAGATCACAGATCCAGACGTGCGACACATCTGGAAGACCAACAGGTAAGGATGGCTTCCTTCGCCTCTGATTGGACAGTGAGTGTGAGAATGAACCGTTCGGTTTCCTTTCTCTCCAAACCAGCCTGCCACTGCGCTTCTGGATCAACATCCTGAAGAACCCGCAGTTTGTGTTCGACATGGAGAAGACCCCCCATGTGGATGGCTGCCTGTCCGTCATCGCTCAGGCCTTCATGGACTCCTTCTCCCTGAGTGAGACCCAGCTGGGGAAGGTGAAGAAGCACGTTCCATTGCACAATCGCAGAACTGAGTAAAAACTCCAAGTAAAAAATAACTAAATGACAAAATGTTTCAGCACGCACCGACCAACAAGCTTCTCTACGCCAAAGATATCCCTAAGTTCAAGCAGGAGGTGAAGGCTTACTACAAACAGATCCGAGAGCAGCCAGAAGTTAGCGACGCTGAGTTCAGAGACTTCCTGCAGGGAGAGTCCAAGGTAAAATCACATAAACTCATCACCAGGGATGGAGGAGCGTTTTTACCATATTATCAAACCTCAGTAAATTTCATCAAGACCAAATATTTTAAATAAAACAGGATCAGATGTTTAGTTTTTACCTTGAACTTATTGGCATTTTATGATTAATGCAATCTGGTGTTCAACATAAAGAAAACCCCAAAATACAGTAGTGGAAAAATTCTTCTCTCCCATTATTTCTATAATTAAAAGTAGTAAACACACACACACATATATATATATATATATAT